ATATATGGGTTTACATTTTTTTCGGTTTATATATATATTTATATATATATATATATATATATATATATATATATATATATATAGGTATATATATATATATATATATATATATATATATATATATATATATGTATATATATATATATATATATATATATATATATATTTTTTTTTTTTTTTTTTTTTATGTAAATACATAGTAGTTAAGGACAATTAATGTAAAGTGGGACCGTGTATAGTTATTATACAGTGTTACCAAAAATCTAGTCTTCTGCTTTTTATAACAGTGACTAAAAAAAAAAAGTAGTGGGGACATTTTTTGCTGCTGTATTTATAGCCACGTCTTCAAGCAATGCACTAATGATAATGAGGATTCTTGTACATCATAATATATCATTAACAATATTCCAGACTTAATTCACAGATGTTAGAACAGAAATGTGTGTGGTAAATTTTACACTGTATGAAAAGCAGCTGTGATGAGGGTTGTGCAAAAGAAAGTTAAGCTTATGCATGTAAGTTCATCATCAAGCACACTATAATCACATCACCAAGATGATCAAGTTATAAATTAAAATTCTGAATAATTAGGAACAGGAATCAGCTATCTGCTAGTGCTTCCATACAGCATTGAAGATCATTTCAAGTGTTGTTGAAAAGGTCAAGCTGATGTCAAAACCAGTATAAACTGCAAAATCATAACTCTGTGGTATTGATCAGAGTCAAACATACAGGAAAAGCACAAAGAATATGTGCAAAAGCTGAACTATGCAAACCTAAGGAACTGAATATGCAAAAACCGCACTGTATAAATATTACACAGTCGCATGCAATGCATGCAAATATTAATCATAGTCATCCTTATTAATGAAAAGCCCTACCCTGTATCCGTTTACTGTGAAAATGTATGTAGATTTAAAACTTGAGACAAACTTAATGTATATACATATATAAAATATTCAGTTGGCACAGGTATTATTATTCAACTTGATAATTGCAAGCAACTGCAGTCCAAACACAAACGAAAATCACAAATGACCTCATATTTTGTACTTTAAACAGTCTATAATTAAAATGCAGGGTTTCTATCCTTATTGATTTAATTAGTTAATTAGTTAAAATTACTTCTTTAAAATGTAAAAACCTAAGGTATGTAAATGCTGAAGAAAATTTTTCTATATATATATATATATATATATATATATATATATATATATATATATATATATATATATATATATATATATACACTCACTGGCCACTTTATTAGGTACACTTTACTAATAACAGATTGGATCCCCTTTTTGCCTTCAGAACCACCTTAATCCATTGTGGCACAGATTCAACAAGGTACTGGAAATATTCCTCCAAGATTTTGGTCCATATTGACATGATAGCATCACACTGTTGCTGCAGATTTGTCAGCTGCACATCCATGATGCGAATCCCCCGTTCCACCACATCCCAAACGTGCTTTATTGGATTGAGCTTTGGTGACTGTGGAGGCCATTTGAGTACATTGAACTCATTGTCATGTTCAAGAAACGTCTAAGATGATTAGCTCTTTATGACATGGCGCGTTATCCTGCTAGAAGTAGCCATCAGAGATGGGTGCAATGTGGTCATAAAGGGATGGACATGGTCAGCAACAATACTCAGGTAGGCTGTGGCATTGACATGATGCTCAATTAGTACTAATGGGCACAAAGTGTGCCAAGAAAATATCCCCCACACCATTACACCACTATCACCATTTGGTTATTTGAGTTATTGTTGTCTTTCTATCAGCTGGAACCAGTCTGGCCATTCTTCTCTGACATCAATAAAACATTTGCACCGACAGAACTGCTGCTTACTGAAAATGTTCTCTTGTTCAGACCATTCTCTGTAAACCCTAGAGATAGTTGTGCGTGAAAATCCCAGTAGATCAGCAGTTTCTGAAATACTCAGACCAGCCCGTCTGGCAACGAACAACCATGCCATGTTCAAAGTCTCTTAAATCTTCTTTCTTCCCCCTTCTGATGCTCGCTTTGAACTGCAGCAGATCATCTTGACCATGTCTACATGCCTAAATGCATTGAGGTGCTGCCATGTGATTGGCTGATTAGAAATTTGCATCAGTCAAGCAACATTACCCTGCAATAGCGCCTGGCAGCATTGCTCAAAAAGTTGCCCCATGCAATGTTTTGTGTGTGTCTAAAAATTCAGCATTTTTAGAGCTTATTCTCCGCAGAGGAGCGGGCGCAGCCATTTGAATCTTTTTGGCACGAGACTTCCGGTATCATTCATTTTTAGACATTAAAAACTGCTCGTTTCGCTGTTTGATGTTGCAAACTGATATTTCCTTGTTATATTATTCTACTTGGTCTGTATAGTCATGCAAACATTTGTTTGTAGAGCAAGTAGTTTGACCGTTTTTTGCTGTTTATTATTCCTTGTCATTTCTCCCATAGGCGACTGAAACAGAAGTTCTAAGACAATGGTAACACTTTACAATAAGGTTCATTAGTTAATGCATTTACTAACATGAACTAATCATGAACAACACATGTACAGCATTTATTAATCATAATTGAACATTTACTAATGCATTATTAACATCCAAGTCCATGCTTGTTAACATTAGTTAATGCACCGTGAGTTAACATGAACTAACAATGAACTACTGTATTTTCATTAACTAACATTAACTAACATGAACATGTACTGTTCATTGTTTGTTCATGTTAGTAAATGCATTAATTAACATCAACAAATGAACCTTATTGTAAAGTGTGACCAAGACAATCGCGAAAACAGGCACACTTCCGCATTTTAGAATAAGGTCAATATAAATAAATAATATACCAGTGAGCAGTATTTATGTCAGTAGCTGAATGGATTTTAAACTGTTATTTATCACACATTTGTAAAGGCAGAATGACACCAGCAATTAAGATGCATCGGTAAAGTGAATGTTTACAGCTACAGAGGCTTTCATTAGTCCATTTAAAAGAGCCAGCTGAAGAAAAAGAAACAGACGGCTGAACAAAAATCATTATCCCCCGGTTTCACAAACAAGGTTTAAGGCTAGTCAAGATTAAATTGCATGTTTGAGCTGTATGAACTCAAAATAACTTGCGGTGAGATGTCTTAAAATATGTCAGTGCCATATTTTATCACCAGGTGCACACCAGTAGTATATTTTTCTGAGGCCATTTTTATAAATGTGGCTTAAATAGCCTAATTTAACTAAGGCCTAGTCCTGGCTTAATCTAAGCCCTGTTTGTGAAACTGGGCCTATGAGTTTTTCTTTGATGTTTTCCAGGTGGATCAGTAATCTTCATTCATTCATTCATTTTCTTTTCAGCTTAGTCCCTTTATTAGTCTGGGGTCGCCACAGCGGAATGAAACGCCAACTTATCCAGCAAGTTTTTACGCAGCGGATGCCCATCCAGCCGCAACCCATCTCTGGGAAACATCCACACACACACACACACACACACACACACACACACACACACACACACACACACACACACACACACACACACACACACAACAGACAATTTAGCCTACCCAATTCACCTGTACCGCATGTCTTTGGACTGTGGGGGAAACCGGAGCACCCGGAGGAAATCCACGCAAATGCAGGGAGAACATGCAAACTCCACACAGAAACGCCAACTGAGCCGAGGATCGAACCAGCGACCCAGCAACCTTCTTGCTGTGAGGCGAACGTGCAACCCACTGCGCCACTGCGTCGCCAATCTTCATTCATTCGTTCATTTTCTTTTCGGCTTAGTCCTTATATTAATCAGGGATCAGCACAGCGGAATGAACCGCCAACTTATCCAGCATATATTATATGCAGCGGATGCCCTTCCAGCCACAATCCAACACTGGCAAACACCAATACACACTCATTCACACTCACACACACTGCAGGAAATTTAGTTTATTCAATTCACCTGTACCGCATGTCTTTGGACTGTGGGGGAAACCGGAGCACCAGGAGGAAACCTACGCAAACACGGGGAGAACATGCAGACTCCCCATAGAAATGCCAGCTGACCCAGCCGAGGCTCGAACCAGTGACCTTTTTGCTGTGAGGCATGAGTGAACTTGCGGGGGAAAAAATATTTTCAAAGTTGCTATGAAAAGAATATAAAGGATTAAAAAAGGCCTTAAGATCTTCAAGATCTTTCTGCTGGCAATGTTCTGTAGCACAGTGTTTCCCAACCCTGTTCCCGAAGCACACCAATGACTCTACTTATCTGTCCCATTAACTTGAGTTGGTTCAGGGGTGTTTGAATAGGGAGAGACTGAAAAAGTATACTGTCGGTGTGGCTTCAGGAACAAGGTTGGGAAACACTGCAGTAGAGCTGCACTAGAAGCAACACTCAGACTCACCATTGACAGACATTTTCCTGCTTTAAATTCCGCCCACCCTCACTCGCTGAGAATGATTTGCTTCCTAGTATCTTCTTACACTTCTCTCCCATGCCACTTCTCTGCACAGCAGTCTCCTCATCTTCTAGAAGAAGTCGAACATGGTGGGCGATAGAAGCCATGTTAACAAAACTCTGTAAAATCACAGGAAACTTTCAAATTTGCCAGCACTCCTTTTTGTGGTGCTTTGTAAAGTGTTTTCATTTGGGATTAAAACTCGGGTGTCCAAGTTAGTCTCTGCAAAAATCTATATTTTGGTTACCAGTCCTGCATTTGAAAGACAAAGTTTCTCTTTAGTTCAGTCTTGGCCACTTGAGATGTGTTGTCAAAAGTTGTAACCCACCAAAAAACTTACAGCAAAAAAAAAAAAAAAACAAGTTCACACTTACATTTATTCATTATCCAAAGTGACTTACTGTACAAATGCGGACAAAAGAAGAACTTCAAATCAACAGTTACTAGAAATGCGTTATTAATGAATTATATTGTTTATAAATGTGCTGAAAAAATCTTGTTTCCATTAAACAAAACATGAGGGGAAAAAGAATCCAGGAGGGCTATTAATTCTGACTTTAACTGGAAGGAGTACATTGAATGCGTACCTTTGCTCTAAGGGTCAAACAACACAAAATAATGTCAAGAATCTTGGTGTGATTCTGGAGTCAGATCTGAGTCTTAATAGTTATGTCAAAGCAGCAAGTAAGTCAGCATCTCAAAAACATTTCAAGAATTAGATACTTTGTTTCCAGTGAGAACTTAGAGAAACTTGTTCATGCTTTTATCAGCAGCAGGGTGGATTACTGTTGCAGCCAAAAAAGACAGTCCGACAGTTGCAGCTCATCCAGAACGCAAGGGCCAGGATTCTGACCAGAACCAGAAAGTCAGAGCACAATACACCTGTCCTCATGTTTTTACACTGGCTCCCAGTTACATTCAGAGTAGATTTTTAAATATTATTACCTATCTTCAAATCACTAAATGGCCAAGGACCTCAATACATTACAGGTATGCTTACTGAATACAAACCCAACAGATCACTCACACTTTAGGATCAACTAGAAATTCCAAGAGGTCAGTCAAAGCAGGGTGAATTAGCCTTCAGCTACTAAAAGCGCCGCTCGCTGCAGGAATCAGCTTCCAGAAATGATCAGATGTGCTCCAACATTAGGCTCGTTCACATCAAGACTGAAAACCCATCTGTTTAGCTGTGCCTTTGCTGAATGAGCACTGTGCTACATCCGACAGATCGCACTGTTAGTGTTTCTTTACATTTTTGTTCTTTTGTAACCTGTTAAACACATTGTGATCTGTTTTTATCGGTTTTCAATCACTTTTATTCTTTGTTTTTTTTCTTATTCTTGTCTCTTTTATTCCTGTTTATGTAAGACACTCTGAATTACCACTGTGTATAAAAAAAGTAAGTAATCCAAATGGATAAAATTTTTAAATGCAATTAGAATACATAAATCTTATAGGTCTAAATATTGTGTGTTTACCACAATGAAAGGAAAGAGTTGTAGTTGTATTGCTGATTTGCAGTGAAAGAAATAAAATAAATAAAAATTGAGAAGAAAATATGATTATGAAAACAGAATACAGGCTCATTCTGAAAACGTACCTTTATATACACTTTTAGACTTCGCAAATTATGTAGCCGAGTTATTTCTTCTTGTCGGCTTAGTCCCTTTATTAATCTGGGGTCGCCACAGCGGAATGAACCGCCAACTTATCCAGCAAGTTTTTACGCAGCAGATGCCCTTCCAACCGCAACCCATCTCTGGGAAAAATTCACACACTCATTCACACAAAAAACTCATACACTACAGACAATTTAGCCTACCCAATTCACCTGCACCGCATGTCTTTGGACTGTGGGGGAAACCGGAGCACCCGGAGGAAACCCACGCGAAGGCAGGGAGAACATGCAAACTCCACAAAGAAACGCCAACTGACCAAGCCGAGGTTCGAACCAGCGTCCCAGCAATCTTCTTGCTGTGAGGCAACAGCACTACCTACTGCGCCACTGCCTCGCCGTAGCTGAGTTATGTAGAAGTAAATATGGCTGCATTTCATCTTTAAAAGTACATTATGGGGTGGTACTGTATGACAGCATTCCTTTTCGTGCTACCAGCTGACTGTTTACCTCTATGTGAACAGCTTTTCCGTTGTTACCTGCTTGTCCAGTGGCTTGTTGGCAAACCAGAGACGCAACAAGGAGTTGACTCTGATGGCGGGGTTTGAGTCCAATAAAGAACAGTTCCAGAAAGCAGGTAAGACAAAAACAAAAGCTAAAAGTAAAATAAGTAAATAACAAGGCGATAATGTGGTGAAATCTGAAAATGTGGTAAACAGATTAGGCGAGGGCTTCTCTTTTTCTGGATTGCTTTTAAAAACATTATGGGTTGGGTTTAGGGAAGTGGGTGGTTGCTGGTAAATCAGTGCTTTTGAAAAGAAGGGAAGGAGGAGGGTGGGTCAGTCGATCGGTCAGTCGGTCAGTCAGTCGACAGTGAATTTACGTCAGAAAAGCAGGCGCAAATGACACAAGAGAAATTTGAAATGTGAAAAAGCGTACACAGCGGCCTCTGGTGTATTCGCGAAAACAAAAACTGCAAAATATGTACCTCCTGGGACGTATTTGGTGCTCTTCTGAAATGTATATAGGGGTACGTTTTCAGAATGAGCCTGGGTTGGTTTTGTGTCAACTCTACAACTCCTCCCCCTGAACTTTCCCTTGCCCTGTATCTTGCTCTGTCACAGGCTTGAGGTCATTGCCAGTACAACTCCCAGTCAAAAACACTTTTCACACTGCAGGACTGTGACAACTGTGAGTCACAGCGATGTCCAGATATTCAGCAGGCTCACGGGCATCAGTGAAACATCACTGCTTCTGTCAGATCGTGTCTTTGATAACCCTTTAAAAAAATATAAGTTTATTCAAGTGTGTCATTACATCTTTTAAACTAAGAAAATATACCTTCTAGGTACTTCTCTTTGGAGTTTGGAGTCTGCTCAATCCTTTACACGTTTTTTTAATTGTTTCAAAAATGTTTGACTTTCTTTTTTTTTAACAGAAACCAGATATTTTAAATGTCTGGCCCTACACATAACTCATTTTAAATGGTTTAGTTTGTTTTATTTTTATGTCTGTATTGTTTGGGTTTTACTAAAAATCTGGTTGAACTACATGTCAACAACTCCTTTAGAAATATTAGTCCCATGAAAAAATGACGTGTTCAATTTTCCCCACTGTACATACTGTCACGATTACCAGCGATCGTATTTCATAAGATCGCTGGATTTTACTAACAATAACCACTCTACTATAAAAACCAGCCTAGGCTGGTTTAAGCTGGATTTTTCAGCAGGGCATGGACTACAAATCCGCCATTTCTGGACTACATTTTCATACATGCACTCCGCTGAGTCCGCTCACACTTACACATGCTTCCTCAGCTAGACTGATTACATTCACACCACCTGAGGATTGTCAGAGACTGATTGCACACACTATTTAAGCTACACACTCACTCCTTCACTTTGCCGAGTCTTGTTAACTGTATAGTAACACTACAACACGTTTTCCTTGTCTTGTTTCTCTGTTTTGACCTTGTTTACCTTTTGTCTCCGTCTGCCGCCTGCCTTCTGACCTCTTGCCTGTTACTTTGACTACGATTCTGGAGTCTTCATATACCTGTTTGCACCTGTATTGACCATTGCTTGCCTGACCACTGATTAAACCTGCATTTGGATCCAAACCTCAGTTGTCTGTGTCACTCCCTGTGGTAACACATACATTGTACAAAATTGCTACAGTATTACTGGTAATTTTGGTTGTAGTTTTAATTTAAAAACCATGTAATCGGAGCATAAAACTATAAGATATATTTGTGTTCTGGTGAAAATACATGTTTAAAACAACACACAGAGAAGTTAAATAAAGAAACACATGTTTATTTTAAGGTGAACATTTTGCGAACCTTTAGGGATCATGGCAGGCAACCCGAAAGTTATTGAGATCTCCTACCAATACTGTGTCCTTGCACAAAGAACAAAACCCCAGGATGCTCCCTGCAGTAAGTAAACTATAAACAGCTGCTAAATGACAGAAATTATAACCTTTATTAGGTACTATCCGCACTATCAAGGACAAAATGCAACATTTTTAGGGGAAAACACTTTCAAGAAATCATTCAGTGCAACCCATTCTCACTCCTGAGTCCCGACCCATCAGATACTGGTCCTTGGTTAAAATCTCTTCTTACTTTGTGATGCTTTGGAAAACGTACCACGTAACGAATTAGCCACTAAACTGGCAAAGCGTAAAATAGTTTTGTTAATTAATTAATTAGGTCCTCACTCCATTCACCTCCCTTTTAGCCAAAGAAGTTGGCATTAAAAGCAATGTGGTGCACGGTAAACATTAAGTTTTCTATTCAAATTTGGCATCCTACCGCACAACACGACATGTTTGCTATTGCAAGCTGCCTTTTTTTTTTTTTGCAACCGAGAACCCGTGTGACGTCATGTGTGATGTAGGCTAGTATCTCCTCTATAGCGTTCCGTTTTTCATACAACCCTGCCTGTGAGAGTGGTTGAGCTCAAGCACATCACATAAAAGGAAAATGAGAAGCATCTTAAAGGAGGCGGGGCATGTCAGATAATAGAGAGCATTTGATTGGTCAGAAGATTTAAAGGGCCATGAAACCCCCTCGTTTCAGCAGGGTGTTTTCACACCTCTACTTTGGAAAAAGTCAGAAAAGTGGGAGTGTCCAGCTCTGTTTAGGGAGGAGTGTCGGAGGAAGAAAAGTGGGATGGTGTTGGAGTGTCTATTTGGGCACGCGTGAGTTTCAGAGTCAAAATACACACACACACACACACACACACACACACACACAGTAGAAAGTGATGGTGTTTAACCTACATGGACATCTGTAGTCGAATTATTTGCCAAATTATTAAATGGTGGACTTTAACTGCAGTTTGGCTCTTTCATTCAGGGAATTCATTCATGCCCCTCGCGACAAACGAGATATTTGATTCGAGGATCTGCTCTAAGCGTGTATTTTTCATGCAATGTTTGATACCGCACGGCGAATGAGAGAAAAAAAAACCTCTGCATTCCCGGAAACTTAGATGCACACGGCAGGTAGCATCAGAAAGCCGCGTGTGTTATTCCGGTCACTAAATGCTGTGAAAACCCTACACGAGTTTAAAGTTTGGTTGTGGTGCTAACATGTTTACACTCGGTGCAATAGTTAACTTAGTTCGATACGAACAAACTGAATAAGCAAAGAGCGCTGGTCGCTCACTTACCAAATCTGTAGAGACAGGACAATCACCAGCAACAAGAGAATACTACAAGCGAATCCGGATCTCAGCGTTTGCAGATGAGAACAGCTCTTAGGTAAACAATGTGCCTCCTCAGACACGTAAGTTAATGTTGTCGAGCGTCGCATACACTGTTAATCCACACGTGACTCCAGCTGAGCTCTCACAGAGAGAAAATGAAAACAAAACTTAACGGCAGCAAACTATAAAAGCAACACTTCACGCTTGTTCTGCCAACACAACGTGGCGTCTCTGTCGTCTAAACACTGTGACAGTAATGAATATTAATGAAGTTGCACAATAGAGCGCGCTGATTGGTTTGAACCAATCCTTACTCATGCATTAATGCAGCACAGTGTAAGACGTAATAAGGCACACTCTGGCACAGACGTCCAGTCTGCACGCTGGAATACACGCTATTATGTCATGACCGTGACGCAGCTTCAAAAATTCGTTTCAAACCGGAAGTACGAATTTGCTTGAAATAACACAAAAACAACCAATTTACACTTTTTAGTGAAATATAGGTGTCCTAATAGTGTTTTTAGCAGTGTGGGACACACATACGGCTGTCAACAGCTCAAAACATGTGTTTTGGTGTTTCGTGACCCTTTAATGACAAACTGAAGTATGAGGTGACGTGAATAAAATCGTTACTCCGTTTCGGCAGAAGTAACAAGTCGGAATCAGTTTTGCATCTTCTAAATGCAAATATTGTCACTTTTTTGGAGCTCACGACATCCTTTAAACTAGCAACACCCTTACTAACATCAACATTTCACTGGACCCTTTTATCATAATAATAATTTGAGATTTACTTTTAGCGTCAAGGCCAACGTTTTCTCATTTAAAACAATGGAGGACTCTGCATGTCTTAATCTGATGCCATCGGGATATCCCAAAGAATGTCAAGCAGGGATCCCGACTGAGAGTCAATGTGTTTGTGCGCTGACAACGAGTAAATAATGTTTCACTCACCTGTTTAATGGCATGCAGCAGCTTCCCATAGCAGAATATGATGACCAGGAAGGGGACGATCAGGCAAAAAATAAAGAGGCAAATGATGTAGGAGATGTTATTGGCGGTCTTGGTCGTCCAGTCTACAGAGCAGGTTGTCCCGGGGCCTTCGGGGCCATAGCGGCTCCACCCAAACAGAGGAGGCAGGGTCCAAATTAAAGAGTAGATCCAGGACATCAGCACCCCACCGATCACCTTCTTGTAGTTGGTCGCATCAGCCTCTGTGGAGCCCATCATTGTACAGTAGCGTTCGTATGACAGCACAGCCAGAGAGATGAGCGATACAATGCCTGCAAACAATTTAAGATCACATTAAAATAAGGCTGTGACATTGGTTTAATGATAAGGTGTATATAGTACTGTGGAATTTAAACTACATGCAGTATCCTAAAAAGCTATACATCACTGAAAAGTTTATTTATTGCCCCTATTCATTTACACTTATAACACTTATATATTACCACACTTATTTGTTTAGGTCACATAATGGTTTTGCATGGATGTTTCTGAAAGCTGTGTATACTGTGAGTTCATCTGACTGTGTGATGGTGTAATGGGGATGATACATAAACTTAAGCACCAGCTCAAGGGCATAACCACAATGGAGATCTAATCCTTCTCCAGCTCGATTGCTGATCCATTAACTAAACCACTAGAGCATGACTTAAGTACCAAATAAACCAGCTCAGAGGATCTATAGGGAAAACAATGCGCTGGTCTGACAACCGCCATGATTATGAGACTTTCAGATCTTAAAGAAACTCCCAAAATTGAAATTCTGTCATCATTATTCAGCTTTTCCAAAAGTTTATGATTTATAGTTTTCTGTGGCATTTAAAATATATTTTGAATGACAATTTTTATGCATATAATTGGGTGATTTGATAAAAATGCCACTCAAAGAAATGTATGTACAGTTAAAGTCAGAATTACTAACCCATTTTTATACTTTTATATGTTTTCCAACCCAGGCTCATTCTGAAAACATAGTCCCGCGGACGTTTCTGGAGACGTATTATGTAGCCAGAGGTACGTATGGCTGCATTTCATCTTTTAAGCAAACGGAGTGACGATGTTCCCTTTCGCGCTTGCCGGCCGGCCGGCCAACCGCTGATCTCCATGTAGAGGGCTTTCCTGCTGCAACCAGTTTGTCTGGTTAGCTCGTTGAGTAATGACGGCAGACTCGAGGTGCAGAGAGGAGCTGACCACGGCGACGACCGGGTTTGAGTCCGTGGAAGAGCAGTTCCAGAAATCAGGTAAGAAAATAAAAACAAAATCCAAAAAATAAAGTGAATGAGTTCATAACAGGTTGAGAATGTGGTAAAATCCGAAAACGTGGTTAAAAAAAAAAAAAAATCAGACGAGGGCTTTTCTTGTTCTGGACCGTTGGTTGGGTTTAGGGAAGGAGGAGGGTGGGTCAGCCGATTGGCCGGTCGCACAGTCAATCATTCTGTCATTCAGACAGGCAGACAGACAAATGGTTGTTCGACAGCGGCCTCTGGAAGGTTCACGCAAGAACAGCGCGGGCGTGAACAGGTGCTCACAAGAGGCGTTCGAGATGCAAAAAAGCACACACAGCAGCCTCTCGTGGATTCATGAAATCAAAAACTGCACAAATACATACCTCCCGAGATTCGTATTTCGCTATCTCCAGAGACGTCCGCGGGACTATGTTCTCAGAATGAGCCTGGGTTGATGTTTTCTTAAGTTTTGTTTAAGGGACATGCTTTTTTCAATGCATAAACATAATATTTTTCATAACTAATTTCTTTTATCTTTGCTTTTTATTAGTTATTATTCCAGATACTAGTTCTCAGTTTAAACTGTAATTTAAAGGCCTAATTAGGTTAACTAAGTCAGTCATTGCACAACAGAGGTTGCTTTTGTAGTCAATCGGAACTGAAAAATAATAAAAATAATAAAGTGGGCTGATAATAATGACCTTAGAGTTTTTTTATCAATTCATTCATTAATTCATTTTCCTTCAGTTTAGTCCATTATTTATCAGGGGTTGCCACAGCTGAATGAACCACCAACTATTTAGTTGATACGTCTTTCAGCTGCAACCCAGTATTGAGAAGCATCCGTACACACTCATCCACTAAAGCCAATTTAGTTTATTCAATTCACCTATAGCGGCTGTGTTTGGGCTGTGGGGGAAACCGGAGCACCCAGAAGAAGCCCACACCAACACAGGGAGAACATGCAAACTCCACGCAGCCAGGACTCGAACCAATGACTTTCTTGCTTTGAGGTGACAGTGCTAACCACTGAGCCACTACGTACTCCATCATTGGAACAACGTGTGCAAAAAAAACAACAACTTAATTCTCCCTTAAAACTACTACTTCACAACTTATGTTTATACCCTTAAAGTTTACTGAATTTTAACTATCATGATCAGCAACACTGGTATAAGCTGCACAAATCAAACACACAGGTTGGTATTAGTGGTTTACAGGGACTCTCAGTAGCCACAATGTATTACATCCAGTAAAAAAAACACTTATTATAAAGCCCTTCTCCACATCTACCCGTAAACCCAACCCTCACAGGAAACCTGTGGCAAAATTTAAACATCAAGAAATTCCATTAAGTGTGAATTTGGAGCATTTGGACATCAAACATGTCCTCGTAAACCACCATAATAGAGTACAACTAGGTCATACACACGTCACTATACAAAAAAATCTCTTTGTAAACCACTAAAACCAGTACACACACATACATTCATTCATTTTCCTTCGGCTTACTCTCTCTCACCACAGCGGAATGAACCGCCAACTATTCCAGCATATGTTTTAAGCAGTGGATGCCCTTCCAGTTGCAACCCAGTACTGTGAATCACCCATACACACTCGCATTCACACACACACACACACACACACACACACACACACACACACACACACACACACACACACACACACACACACACTCATACATTATGGCCAATTTAGCATATTCAGTTCACCTATAGCACATGTCTTAGGACTCTGAGGTAAAACCAGAGCACCTAGAAGAAACCCATGCGAACATGGGGAGAACATGCAAACTACACACAAAAATGCCAATTGACCCGGTCGGGACTCAAACCAGTGATCTTCCTGCGGTGAGGTGACGGTGCTAACCACCGAGCCACCACACACAAACATTGCTAAATAAATCAATCAATCATAAAATAACATTTACCCAGTGATGGGTTGCGGCTGGAAGGGCATCCTGTCACGTTAGAGTGATCAAAACAGGAACAAAAACGGGCGTAGAATCCAAGTGCAGATTCAATATAGAATTTTGCAGTAACAGTGACCAAAAATTCAAGTTAAGTAACAAAAATTAAAAGTTCAATTTGAAAATTAAAGTTCAAAGTAACAAAATGGCAAACAAACAAACAAAGCAAGAAACTAAGACAGATTAAACTCGAATTAGACTTTAACAAGATACAAGAGCGAGATCAGGAACAACATACCAAAGATGACAACGACCAACTAACAAACAGAGGTGGAATGACAGAATATATAGTCCAGGTAATCATCGGTAAACAAGGACAGCTGTGGTTGCATATCAGTGTACGTGAATTCCGATGTGTGCGCGATGTATGTATGGATATGTAGTTCTTAAGCCACTGTAGTTCGCTGGGGGTTGCTGGCGAACTACAGTGGCATCCGGTGGACAAACACAGTCAAGACACATCCGCTGCGTAAAACAGATGCTGGGTGAGTTGGCGGTTCATTCCGCTGTGGCGACCCTGATTAATAAAGAAACTAAGCCGAAACGAAGTGAAGTTTAGTTTTAAACTAATTTCGAGAGGAGCATGTGCTCATGATTTACCCAGCTGGTCCACATTAACTAATTATGATCCTCCAATCAAAGGATCCCAAACCACTATATATATCCTCATTTCCTTTCTACAACTATCTTCGTCTGGAAGAAACCCCCCCCTCCTCCCCTTCTTCCTCCTTTATCCAGAATGGGCGGCACGGTGGCCCAGTGACTAGCACTGTTGCCTCACAGCAAGAATACCAATGGTGTTGGGTCCTCGCTGAGCCATCTGGTATTTCTGTGTGGAGTTTGCATGTTCTCCCCGTGTCCGCGTGGGTTTCCCCCGGGTTCCCCGGTTTCCTCCCACCACCCAAATGTGCTCTATATTATAGATAAAACAAGCCTAAACCTTTTTTATAATGTCTTACTCTCAGGAAGTTCGCCTTGGCCTCAGCAGCGGGGGAGTTTGAGATAGACCTGAGCTCAATCTCCACTCGCCCTGCAAAAGGGGGGGAGCCCTGGGCTCGAGGATCCCTTGAGCTCAGGGCTCTCTCCCGGGACAGCATGCCAAACAAGCTATGTATAAATCATGAGCTAAGTGTGAACTCTTGAAAATGAATGAGTGAATAAAATAACAGTCAATTGCTTCAAAATGCCGCCAAACAGTTGCACTAGTAAGATGTAACTTTGGTTTTTCACTCACAGTCAGACTGTTAAAGCGTTCTTCGGGGATCAGAGTTTAAGATCGCTTTTTGATTACTTGCTTCAAACCGATTCCAGATGAAACCAACAGCATTTTATGAGACGAGAGGCTTTTTTTTTCCCCTTGCTTGTTCTAATGATAAATTGCCTACAAAACATCTCGCAGGAGATGAATCTGATGAGGCAAGTGCCTGAAAAATTGCATAAGATCTCAATATTGCAACACTGAGGTGGATTCAGAAATCTAATATTCTGGTTATGTTAAGTTGCCAAGAGGTGATTTTTGTCCCACAGACAAAGAAATGATGCTCTCCTGCGTTCACTGGCAGCCTTTCAATGAAAAACAAATTCTGTTCAAATCAAATTATAACAGTGGTGATACTTCTCCAGACTTTTCCATTTCACACCTAATTCGACATCAGCCGATGCAACATTTGTGGAGAACATCAGTTGCACATGGGCTGGTTTGATCTGTGATGCAGCCTGGAGATCTAATACAATCAGAAGTATTTCACCATACTGAACTTACAACACAGGCTCACTGGAAATACGTGCTTCAGCCTACATTTTTGTTAAACCACATAAAAAAAGTGTACTTCAACATACATTTGACAGCAGTTTCTAGGTAAAATGAACACTAGGGGGCAGTATGACAGCAACTTTTATTGCTTTTCACGCTAATGATATTTAGAGGCAGGTAATTTCCACTGGAGACAGTGGGGAAAATTGAACACAACCCAGGCTCATTCTGATTATGTACCCCTGTATAGATTTCTGGAGAGCACCAAATACATCCCAGGATGTTTTTTGCAGTTTTTGCTTTCGC